TCAAATTAAATGGAGAGAAACTCAAAGAGATCCTACTAAAATCAGGAACAAGACAAGTCTGTCCACTCTCTCCATACCTATCCAATATAGTACTCAAAGTTCTAGCTACAGCAATAAGACAACAAAAGCAGATCAAGGGGATATAAATTGGAAAGGAAGAAGTCAAACTTTCACTATTTGCAAATGATATGATAATCTACATAAGTCACAACACAAATTCAACCAGGGAAGGAAACTCCTACAGCTGATAAACATATTTAGTAAGGTGGCAGGATACAAGATTAACCAAAAAAAAAAAAAATCAGTGGCCCTCCTATAGGAAATAGGATAAATGATAAACAGGTTGAGAAAGAAATAAGAGAACCATCACCCTTTACAATAACCACAAGTAATAAAAATTATCTTGGAATAACTCTAACCAAACAAGTGAAAGATCTGTATGACAAGAACTTTAAGTCATTGAAGAACAGAATTAAAGAAGATTTGAAAAAAATGTAAATATCTCCCATGTTCATGGATAGATAGAACCAACATAATAAAAATGGCAATCTTACCAAAATCAATCTACAGATTCAATGCAATCTCCCTCAAAATTCCAAAACAATTCTTCACAGGCCTCAAAAGAACAATACTCAACTTCATATGGAAAAACAAAAGACATAGGATAGCTGAAACGATCTTTTACAGTAAAGCAACTTCTGGAGGCATCACCATCCTTGACTTCCAGCTCTACTATAGAGCTGTAGTAATAAAAACAACTTGGTATTGGCATAAAAACCTACATGTGGACCAATGGAATTGAACTGAAGATGCTGACATTAATCCACACACCTATGAACACCTGATTTTTGATGAAGAAGCCAAAATTGTACAATGGGAAAAAAAGCATCTTCAACAGATGGTGATGGCATAACTGGATGTCAACATGTAGTGGATTGCTAATAGATGAATATCTATTGCCATGCACAAAACTGAAGTCCAAGTGGATCAAAGACCTCAACATAAATATAGCTATACTGAACCTGATAGAAGAGCAAGTAGGAAGTAACCTAGAATGCACTGGTTCAGGAAAACACTTCCTAAATATAATACCAGTCACACAGACACTGAGAGCAACAATTAATAAAGGAGACTTTCTGAAACTGAGAAGCTTCTGTAAGGCAAAGACATGGTAAATTAGACAAAATGACTGCTCACAGAATGGAAAAAGATCTTCACCAATCTCATATCTGACAGAGGATTGATTTCCAAAATATAGAAAGAATTCAAGAAACTAGACATCAAAATACCAAATAAGCCTATTATAAAATGAGCTACAAATCTAAACAGAGAAATCTCAACAGAAGAGTCTCAAATAGCCAAAAGACGTTTAAGGAATTGCTCAACATCCTCAGTCATCGGGGAAATGGAAATCAAAATGACATTGATATTCCATCTTATACCTGTCAGAATGGCTATGATCAAAAACTCTGATGACAGGTTATGTTGGAGAGGATGAAGAGCAAGGGGAACACTCCTCCACTGCTGAGAGGAGTGCAAACTTGTACAGCCACTTTGGAAATCGGTATGGCGGTTTCTCAGAAAATTGGGAATCAATCTACCTCAAGATCCAGAAATACCACTCTTGGGTGTAGCATGAATCTTAAAGTATTTACTAATAAAATCAAACCTGAGCCAGGTATTGGGGTGAATTCTGGAAGATCACAGAAGCAGAACAAGCCTCACCTTGCCAGTTCTTCAGCTGATCCTGTTTCCTCAGACTGGAAGCCACTGGGTCCTCATCCAGAATGAATCTCTGCTGAACTGCTTGCTGCTCGAAAGCCTGAAAGCTCAACCAGCCAAATGCTTAACCAGCCAAATGCTTCTAGTTTCTGGTCTTCACGCCTTATATATCTTTCTGTTTTCATATAATGAAAGGATGCTCAATCATACCACAAGGACACTTGCTCAACTGTGTTTATAGCAGCATTATTCATAATAGTTAGAACCTGGAAATAACCTAGATGTCCCTCAAGCAAAGAACAGATAAAGGGAATGTGGTATATTTGCACAATGGAGTATTACTCAGTGATAAAATAAACAAAACAAAACAAAAAACAATGACATCGTGAAATATGTAGGCAAATGGTTGGAACTAGAAAAAAGTCATCTTGTGTGAGGTAACACAGACTCAGAAAGACAAACACATTATGTACTCAGTCTTCATTGGAGAGTATATGTAAAACAAAGGATAACCAGGCTACAACCCACAGCCCTAGGGATAACATGGAGGACCCTAAGAGGCATGCATGGATCACTGTGGGAAGGGGAAAAAGATGAGGTATTCTGGGTTAACTGAGGGAGGAGGTGTAGGGGAGGAGATCAAGATGATCAAGTTGGGGAAGGACAGAGAGGGTGAGTGACAAGGGAGATATCTTGATAGAGAAGACCAGAATGGGATTGGAGAGAAGTTGGTGCTGGGGAGGCTCCTGGGAATCTATGAAGATGACGCCAGCTAGGACTCCCGGCTGTAGTAGAGAGAGTGCCTGAACTGGTCTTCTCCTGTAGTCAGATAGGTGAGCACCCGAATTGTCATCATAGAACCTTTGTCCAATGACTGATGGAAGCAGATGTAGAGATCCAAGGCCTGGCACTCTTGGAATCCAGCTGAAGAGAGGGAGGAGAGATTATATAAGCAAGGGCAGTCGAGATCATGAGGGAGGGGGAAAGTCACAAAGACAGTTGGCCTGAGTTCGTGGGAGCTCAGGACTCTAGACCAACTCTAGGGAGCATACATGGGATTGATCTAGGTCCTCTGAATGTGGGTTACAGTTGTGTAGCTTAGTCTGTTTGTGGGGCTCCTAGCAGTGGGACAAGGACCTGTCCCCGGCATGTGAGCTGGCATTTTGGAACCTACTCCCTATGGTGGCATACCTCGATGCAGGGGGTAGGAGCTTGGTCCTGCCTCAACTTGATATGTCATGCTTTGTTGACTCCCATAAAAGAACTTACCCTTTCTGAGGAGTGGATGAGGAGGGTATATTGGAGTTGTGAGGAGGGAACGGGAGAAGAGGAGGAAGAGAAAACTGTGGTTGATATGTAAAATAAATATAAATAAATTAAAAAAAGACCTATGATTGAAATCATGATTACCTCTTGAATACTTGCTAAAATATTTCAGAATGCCAAAGCTTTAGAGAACGAACTAGTCTTTCAGAGCTCTCCCATCATCTTCAAGAAAGTAACTGTGATGGGATGTAGAAATGGTTCAGCAGTAAAAGGTGCTGGATACCTTTCCAGAAGACTGGCATCCAATTCAAGCATTCACACAGCAGTTGACAACTGTAGCCAAATTTCTATGTGGTTTTATTAAATAAAAAACACAGAGCCAAACATAGGGGTGAAAGCCTAGAGATCAGGGAAATAGTGATATCTCTCCAGCTCTGCAGCTACCAAAAGTGAGTTACTCCCTGTCTACCCATGCCTTTACTGACTTGCTATTCTGCCCTCTCATTAGTTCTTAGCCCAGCTACCTCACTTCCTTGTCACTGCGTGTCTGGACAGACCTCCAGGTCTCTATGGTTGTTACTGGAATTAAAGGTGTGTGTTAGCATGCTTGGCTGTTCCCTAGTGTGCCCCTGAACACACAGAGACCCTGCCTGCCACATGATCGGATTAAGGGCGTGTGCTACCACTCCCTGACTTCTATGTTTACTTAAAAATGGCTGGCCTTTTCCTCCTTGATCTCCAGGCATGCTTTATTTATTAACATACAAGTAAAATATCACCACATTTCAGCACAAATAAAGTATCACCATAGATAACATTCAGTAACTTCAGTTATCCAGGGGATTCAATGGTCTCTTCTGGCCTCTGTCTACATCATAGACTCATGGTGCACAGACCCACCTGTGTAACTGCATAATGAAAATATCATTCTAGGTATAAAACCCAGTACTTGTGTAAAAAAACAAAACAAAACAAAAAAACAGCTATCCTTGTCACAACTAAAACAAAGGCTTAATCTACCAAATTCCATAGTTCTGGGAATATCTCTAAATGTTCAAACCTTTCTCAAAATATACTAACATTTTGGCTTCTGTCCTGCCACTTCTGGCTAACTGTTCTTGTTAACTGAAGTGTGTCAATCCAGAATATGGCTTTTGTGCTTAAAAGCTCACCCTGAGAAAGGCTAGTTGCTGCACTGGAATCTGGAGCACCCCAGGTACTTGCCAGAGAGCTAATAAAGACTTTCTAATGACTTAAATCCATGTTCAAAGATTAAAGAGGACAGAACTCCCCAGGGAAGGATGAATACTATGAGGTATTGAGAAACTGAAGCCCTTAGGACCTTCTCATAGCATGTCCTTAAGTGGATCTGGAAGAATGTTTCCAAGGAGAATTATCTGAGGGGGAGGGGCAAGACGACCAATGAAAGTTGATGGAGTCATATTGGAGACTATTAGTCTGGATGGAATAAAGGCAGGAAAACGACAGCTACTTTCAGAGGTTCCTGCCTGGCTCTGCTTCTTGCCTACCATATATGAATTTTTCCACCCTGACCTCCAAGTTGTGAACGCTGAGATCTGACAAGGTAAGGAAAACACCTCTTCCTGGATCATGTTTATGGGAGGGATTAGTGTAAAACCCCAAGAAGATTAAATAACAGCTGTGTAGGAATGGACAACACCCCTTACTTTGTGGAAGATGAAGCACAGTAAGCAAAATACACTTGTCATGGTTGTTCTTGGTTCCCAATTTAACTAGACATGGATTAACTACAGTCTAAAACGGAGGGCACAACTGTGAGACATGTTTTGCTTAAGTAGGTAGATTCACTTCAAGTACAGACTTTGGAGGTTAAAAAGACACAGACACTTAACCAGGATCTCAAGACCTGAGGACACACGCCTTTAATCCAGATCTTGAGGCTGGAAGCCACACCCTAAATTGAGCCACGCCTTCTGCTGGAAGCCCTATAAGAAGACATGGAAGAAGGAATCCATCGCTCTTTGCCTGCTTGCCCTCACCTTGCCACAAGTCCGTTCCTTCACTGGCATTAGAGAACACTTCAGAATTCCAGCATATACTGAAGACCAGCCGACTCATCCAACCTCCTGGATGAGGTGAAGAGAAAATAATCCCTGGTTCTTAATTTTGGATCCAGTTTAACCTTCAAACTACCTCCAGAAGAAATGTCAGGGGATGGGATAGCCCAGAGCTGGGGCTACACGCAGATCAGCGTCCAGAATTTCTCCTACAAGTGGACCATCAGCAACTTCAGTTTTATTCTGGAGGGAATGCGGGGACACATTAGAAGCCCAAGTTTCTCACTAGGAGCCAATGAGAAATGGTGTTTGAGAATACACCGGGACGAGATCAATGAAGAAAGGACAACCTACCTGTCAGTTTACCTGGTGTTGCTCAGCTGTCCAAAGAATCACGTTTGGGCAAAGTTCCAGTTCTGGATCGAAAGCGCCGAAGGAGAGGAAACCCGAACTACGAAGAGCCCAAGAGCCTTTGTGTTTGTGCCACGCTACAGCTGGGGATTCAAAAAGTTCGTTCGTAGAGATTTCCTCTTGTCCCATGCCGACTGGCTTCTCCCAGATGACAAGTTCACCCTCCACTGCAAGGTGAGCGTCGTCCAGGACGCCTTCAGCATCTCTGACCAGAACAGGAAGCCAGGGATCCAGGTTCCCAAGTGCACATTGGCAGATGAGCTAGGAGAGCTGTGGAAGAATTCCTGCTTCACAGACTGCTGCCTGTTGGTAGGTGGCCAGGAATTCCGGGCTCACAAGGCCATTTTAGCAGCTCGCTCTCCAGTTTTCAGAGCCATGTTTGAACATGACATGAAGGAGAGCAAAAGGAACCGCCTTGAGATCCATGACCTGGAGCCACGAGTCTTCAAGGCAATGATGGACTTCATTTACACCGGAACAGCACCAGACCTGGATAGCATGGCAGCTGCTGTGCTGGCAGCTGCTGACAGGTATGGCCTGGGGCGTTTGAAGGTCATGTGTGAGGATGCCCTCTGCAGGGACCTCTCTGTGGAGAATGCTGCCCACACTCTCTTCCTGGCTGACTTGCACAGCGCGGAGCAGCTGAAAACCCAGGCACTGGATTTCATTACAGCTCATGCCTCTGAGGTCTCTGAGACCTCAGGCTGGAAGGCAATGGTGGGCTCATATCCCAACTTAGTGGCTGAAGCATACCGCTCCCTGGCTTCTGCTAACCGCCCTTTCCTGGAGCCCCCTCTCAAAAGCCTGAAGCAATCCTAGGACCTGGGCAGCTGTGACCTACATGTGTCTCTCAGAAGCAGCAGCCAGGGTTGTTGCCAATGACACCTGGGTAAACTATATGGAATGTGTGGAGCATTTACTGTGAATGTGGGGAAAGACAGCATGGTGGTTCGGGCTTTAATACAGCTGTAAATGAGTTGAACGGCAGGTCGGGGGAGGAGGAGCGTAGACTCTGGTATACTCTGCTCTGTTGCTGTCCCGGTTTAATTATTGTCCAATGAACTGGAACCTGGGATTCAGTGTTGATGCCGGTCCCAAGCATGTCCCAACAGGGTTTCTTTGGAGAAACCTGTCTGGATTGGACTGAGCAGAGCACATATATGATCAAAGGCTCAGCAAAGGAGAAAATAAACATGAATGTTTGCTTACAAGAGACGGGGAAGAGAAAGAAGACATTCTCTTTCCCTACAAACTCCGTTTGTGGGGCCTGGAGAGATGACTCCATTGGTGAAAGCAAGTGTTGCTCTTGCAGAGGACCCTTGTTCAGTCCTCCTCTGGTCTCCATGGGCTCATCCGTCTCTGTAGACCCTACCTTACCCCAAAAATATAAAATGAATAAAAATTTTAAAATAAAAAATTCCTTTTTTTTCTGTTATGGGTCATGTTGTAGCTTTTTTATTCTCTTAAAGTCCATCCACGACTACCTCCCCCAGACTCCCTCTGGTGCCTCCACTTCGTCTCCTTCCCAACTTCATGCTGTCTTTTTTATTTTCATTCTTCCTTGGTGACGTGGCCACTGGTAGGTTACTTATGCCCCAGTGGATGGTCACATACCATGGACCCATTTGCAGCACTAGCCGGATTTAGGGGTCTTTAATACCAAGAAACTGCCAAAAATTCTTTTTTGGGGGGGGCGGGGTTTCAAGACAGGGTTTCTCTGTGTAGTTTTGGTGTCTGTGCTGGATCTCGCTCTGTAGACCAGGCTGGCTTTGAACTCACAAAGATCCACACGGCTCTGCTTCTCTAGTGCTGGGATTAAAGGCGTGTGCTGCTGCCGCCGCCCCCCCCCCGCCCCCCCCCGCCCCCCCCCCGCCCCCCCCCCCCCCCCCCCCCCCCCCCCCCCCGCCGCCACTACCTAGCTGCTGTCAAAAATTTTTAACAAGTAGAATTTTGTATTATTGCCAGCTTCCATTCATTTCTATCAAAGGAGGCTTCTCATTTCTTTGTTTGCTTGCTTGAGACAGGGTCTCACTCTGTAGCCCAGGTTGACATAGAACTCACAATGTAGCCCAAGCAAGCCTGATAACGAACCTGCCCCAACCTTCTGAATGCATACATACAGGCAGGAGTGACTAGGCCTAGTTCAAGGCAAGTTAAGAGACTTGTCATGAATGAATACTTCTTTTTTAAACATTTATTTATGTATTTGTGAAGTGGTGTGTGTATATGTTAAGGTCAAAGAATAACTCTGGAGGAGTCAGGACAGGAATCCAGAGGCAGGAGCTGACTCAGAGACCTCGGAGGAGTCAGACGACAGGAATCCAGAGGCAGGAGCTGACTCAGAGACCTCGGAGGAGTCAGACGACAGGAATCCAGAGGCAGGAGCTGACTCAGAGACCTCGGAGGAGTCAGACGACAGGAATCCAGAGGCAGGAGCTGACTCAGAGACTTCGGAGGAGTCAGACGACAGGAATCCAGAGGCAGGAGCTGACTCAGAGACCTCGGAGGAGTCAGACGACAGGAATCCAGAGGCAGGAGCTGACTCAGAGACCTTGGAGGAGTCAGACGACAGGAATCTAGAGGCAGGAGCTGACTTAGAGACCAAGGAGGAATGCTGCTTACTGTGTTGCTCTTTACAGCTTGCTCAACCTGTTTTCTTATAAAAGGCAAGCTCACTGGTCCAGACGTGGCCCCACTCGCAATATACTGGGCCCTCCGACATCAATCACTAATTTAAAAAGTTGCCCTCCAGGCTTGCCTATAGTTCAGTTTTATGGAGGCATTTTCTCAGCCTGTGTTGATTTAAAAACTAGCCAGAACATAGAGTAAACCCACACAGTTGTTTACATATATACATATATGTATTATTGATTAGGATTTACATATGAGGGAGAACATGAGGTGACCTCAATTAATATTATACATACTGAGTCCACCCACTTTCCTGCAAATTTTGTGGTTTCAGTTTTCTTTAGAGCTGAATAATATTTCATTTTCATATATACCAGATTTTGACTATCTATTGCTGAACCTGTAGATGGCTTCTATGTCCTTACTATTATACACAGAGGGGCAATAGACATGGATGTTTAAATATCTCTATGGTAGGCTATGGAGTTCTTTGGACATATGTCAGGAGTGGAATAGCTGAGTCATATAGTAGTTCTCTTTTTAATTTTTGATGAAATTCAAAACTGATTTCCATAATGCCTATATTAACTTGCAACCCCACCAGCCCTGAAGAAGGGTTGGTTCCTCTTTCCCACAGCCTTTCCAATATTTGTTGACAGATTTATTGATGACAGCCATTCTGACTGGATGAAGTGGTATCTCAACAGAGTCCACGGCCCACAGAATGGGAGAACATGTTCATTATACTTCAGATTGTTGCACCCTGTTTCACAAAACCCCCAGAGACCACCAAGGAGCCAGTTTACAATGCAAGCCCATAAGGGTCCTTTTATTGTCAGGTTCAACCTGGGCCACCACAGGGCAGATGGAAGGAAATGTGGCAGTGGCCTTGAGCCCAGGTACAGAGAGTTTTTATAAGGAAAAAACTGCAAGCTAGGAATTGGCAACTTGGGATTGGGTAGAAGGGATATGGGACAAGGTGATTTTTTGAAACTATTGGTCTAGACTTTGGGCTCAAAACCACATTTGAAACCATTGGGTTAGACTTTTGGCGGGGAACCACAACCTGCTGAATAGGATTGTCTGGACTGCTCAGCAGTATTATCTAGATAACTTCAAGGGCCATAAACCGCAGACAGGATGTCTTCAGGAGGATACTGCTCTGTATCTGTTCCAGTTGTCATGGCACATTCCTGAGGTCCTTCCTGGAACTGAGTACAGCAGGTGGTCTAAGATGGTAGCCCTACCCTAAGATGGAGTCTGTATTGCCTTCACAATATAAGGAACTAATATACAGAATTTACAAAGTATTCCAGAAATTAAATACTAAGGAAATAAAACTGCCAATTAGCAAATGGACTAATGAATTTTATAAACAGTTTTCAAAAGAAGATATACAATAACTATTTTTAATTCTTCTTTTGGGGAGTGGAGTGTTTCAAGACAGTGTCTTCCTGTAGCCTTGGCTGTCCTGGAACTAGCTCTGAAGATCAGGCTGGCCTGGAACTCAGAAATCCACTTGTTTCTGCCTCCCGAGTGCAGGGAAGAGTCTCAATCAAGGATTGTTTGGGTTAGGTTGGCTCCTGGGCACATCTGTAGGTGATTATCTTGATTATGTTAATTGAGGTGGGAGGTCTGCCTACTGTGGGTGGCACCATGGGGAGACAGGGGACCTTGGATTGCATCAGGGTAGAGAAAGAGAGCTAAACATTAGCGTCCATGCATTGATTCACTATTCCCTGCCCTTGGCTGTGTAAATATTGTGAACAGCTGCTACAAGTTCCTGCCACCTTAACTTCCCACAGTGATGGACTGTAACCGGGACCTCTGAGTCAAATAAGCCCTTTCTCCTCTAAGTTGTCAGGATATTTTACCTAACCCCAGGTGATGCTCCCATCCTGCTTCTCCCACTGTCCTTCTCATTTTCTAAG